TCCCTCCAGCTTTGGGATGCGCTCGCACCCCTGGCGCGCCTCAGATTGACCAGGCATCCAAGCTCAGGTCAGCCATGTGGCTTCCAGCACCGCATTTCAGTACACTAGTGACTGCACCATAGGGACTGGGCCTCCCTCGCCTTTAACGTATTCTCCAACCTCTTTTGCTCTGGCTGCTCTCCCACTTCTCCACTGAAGCCACTTTGGTCAAGTCCATCAGGGACCTGATTTGCCAAATCTCCTGGTTACTTCTCTTTCCTCCAGGTTGTCTCTCAGCAGGGTGCACCCGTTCCTGACTTGGCCCAGGAACCATGCGCACCGTTTTCGGGACTCCTCGTTCTCCAGCCAGCTCAGCCTTGGGCCTTCTCTTTTCTATCTATATTTTCTCTCCCTAGGTGATCTCATCCACTCTCATGGCTTTAAATACCATCTATATATGCCGGTGACTCACAAATGTATATTTCCAGCCCAGACCTCTCTGAGCTCCAGACTCCTGTATCCAACTTCCTGCTTGCTGTCTCCGTTTGTATGTCCAAAAACATCTCCAACGCAATGGATCCTGAATGGAGCTCTTGACTCTCCTGAGACCCGCTCCTGTTCTTGTCTTTTCATCTGGGCAAATGGTTCCACCGTTCCTCTACATGTTCTGCTCAACACAGAAACCTAGAAGTCATCTCAGATCCTCTCTCTATCTCACCTCACAACCCCCAAATTAAGACTTGCTGGCTTGGGATCAGCAGATGGCATAATGGTTACATTGCTGGACTCCCAGCAACCGCTGACCATGGTTTGAGTCCCAGACCTGGTGGCTTGAAACTCACACTGAGTGCATGTGCCTGTGTGCCCAAAATCCAAAGAGGAGAATGGAGAAGGGATTGCAGCATGGCCATCCTTGCTGGTGTGTGTGTGTGTGTGTGTGTGTGATATTTCTCGCTTTCTGTCTCTGTCTCTCTGGCAAGTGTTTGTGCCCTATAGCAAAAATCTCTCTTAAAAAAAAAAGAACAGAAAAGAAAATTGCTAGAAAGCACGTGTGCTCACCAGGAAGAAAGTGAGAAAGCAGATGCCAGGTACAGGACTCGAACTGTAGTCAGTCATATGGGAGTCCGATGCCTTAATCACCGTCCCACCAGCTGGCCCCACTCCTTGCTTTTCTAAGTTAAAAAGAGATTGTGGAACAATTCATGCAAGCACAGAGGGAGCCCCTTCTTTTTTATAGCTGCATACTTTTTCCTCATATGAACTAATTTAACTAGTCCCTTACTTGCCCACACTTTGACTGCTTTCAGTCTTTTTGAACATGCCACAATGAAAAACTTGGAACTGGGGGCCAGCAGGTGGTATAGTGGTTAAGGCGCTGGATTCCCACATGACCGACTGCGTTTTGAGTCCCAGACTTGGCAGCTTGAAAATCACACTGGATGAGTACGTGTGCGTGCCCCAAATCCTGAGAGGAGAATGGAGAAGAAGGGAATGCAGAGTTGCCATCCTCCCCAGAGGGTGATTTCTCACTTTCCTTCTCACTGTCTCTCTCGCTCTGTCTGCGGCAAGCACACACCCTATGGCAATACCTAAAATAGAAAGAAAGAAAGAAAAAAGCTGAACTATTATTTGCTTGTAGATTAGCATATCTGTAGGCTAAACCCCTAGGAGTGGAATTTCTTATCCAAAGAGTACATATATTTGGCATCTTGGTATCCACTGTGAGATTGGACGGTGCAGAGCTGAAGCTCATTCACCCACAGCCCTGCCGTCCCTGGGTGTTAACAGACACGTTGAAATTTGCCCATTTCATAGGAGACAAGCAGTATCAGAGTGTAGTTTGACTTTACATTTCTCTTACTTTTTAAGAAATTGTGGTAAAATACATCTAACAGAATTGACCATTTTAACAATTTTTTAAAAATAGTAGTTGCCAGAGTGTTTTTAAAATTTTATTTATTCATTCATTCATTTTTAAAACTTTGACCAGAGAGAGACACAGAAAGAGCGAGAGAAAGAGAGAGAGAGAGAGAGAGAGAGAGAGAGAGAGAGAGAGAGAGAGAGAGAGAGAGAGAGAGAGAGAGAGAGAGAGAGAGAGAAAGCAAGCCACCAGGTCTGAGACTTGAACCATGGTTGGCCATGAGGGAGTGTCCAGCGCCCTTAACCACCACACCACCTGCTGGTCCTCTTAACAATTTTTAAAAAATGCACCAGAGGGCATATGCTCTCACCAGAGAGACTGAGAGACAGAGGGGGGGGAAAGCACCTCCCAATGGGACATGGTCACACCACAATCCCTTGTCCTCCATTTCTTTATCCTGTTGGGATTTGGGGCAGGTACACACATGCAACTGGCGTTTTTTTTTTTTTTTTTTTTTTTGAGAGATTTTCACTGTAGGACGCGTGCACTCGCCAGACAGACAGAGAGAGACATAGAGACAGAAAGCGAGAAATCACCCCCCCAGGGGGGATGGTCACGCCGCAATCCCTTCTCCTCCATTCTCCTCTCAGGATCTTGGGCACGCACGCACATGCACCCGGCGTGAGTTTTAAGTCACCGGGTCCGGGACACGAACCGCGGTCGACTACGTGGGAGTCCAGCGACATAGCCATTACGCTAACTGCTGGTTCCCTGGCATGTTTTTCATGTGGGAGTCCAGCGCCTTAACTTCCACACCACCTGCTGGCCCCCACTGGCATGTTTTTCAAGCCACTCAGGCAGGGATTCAAACCATATAGTCAGCCATGTGGGATCCAGAACCCTTAACCACCAGGTCATGGAGCTGGCCCAACCATTTGTTCAAAAGTTTACTTATTTGGGGGAACCAGCAGTTAGCGTAATGGCTATGTCGTTGGACTCCCACGTAGTCGACCGTGGTTTGTGTCCCAGACCCGGTGGCTTAAAACTCACGCCGGGCACATGTGCATGCGTGCCCAGGATCCTGAGAGGAGAATGGAGGAGAAGGGATTGCGGCGTGACCATCCCCCCTGGGGGGGTGATTTCTCGCTTTCTGTCTCTATGTCTCTCTCTGTCTGTCTGGCGAGTGCACGCGCCCTACAGTGAAAATCTCTCCAAAAAAAAAAAAAAAAAGTTTACTTATTGGGACCAGCAGATGGCATAATGGTTACATCCCTGGAGTCCCACGTAATGACTGCAGTTCGAGTCCTAGACCTGGCAACTTAAAACTCATGCCAGGCGCGTGTGTGTGCGTGTGCCCAAAATCCCAAGAGGAGAATAGAGGAGAAGGGATTGTGGTGTGGCCATCCTCCCTGAGGGGGTGATTTCTGGCTTTCTGTCTCTCTGTCTCTGTCTCTCCAGTGAGCATATGACCCCTACAGCAAAAATCTCTCTCTAAAAACAAGAACAAAAGAAAGTTTACTTATTTATTCCATGAGAGAGAGAGGAGGAGAGGGAAGGAGAGAGGCACCCCCAACGTTTTTTCTTTTATAGAATTATTTATTTGATTTTTATTTATTCACTCATTTATTTAAAATTGACCAGAGAGAAAGTGAGAAAGCAAGCCACCAGGTTCAGGACTCGAACTGTGGTCAGCCATATGGGAGTGTCCAGCGCCTTAACCACCACGCCCACCTGCTGATCCCACCTGCAACAGTTTTAATGCTCTGACCCACCTCCATTCACAGGGGGCCAGGATCACCGGCACATGTGCATGCCTCCAGCATACTCAGGAAGGTCCGGGCCACAAACCTAGGACCTCTCCCAGGTGGGTCCAGTTGCCATCCCGCTGTGCTGGTAATGGCCCCGGGGTCACCATTCTCCAGTGAAGTTAGGGGGTGCTCCGTAGATTCACACTGCTGTGCAGCCACACTTCTCTTGCTTTCAGTGAAGCGGCTAGAGCCAGGCCCGGTTTGGGGCACCAGGGACTCGGAGATGAATCAGCCTGTGCTCGCGGTGGAACTCCCTGGCTGGTGGGAGCGACCGTAAACAGGCATCACAAACGTGTCAGCGGAGCCCTGTGTGAGCGGCGCCGAGAGCCCAGGGGCAGGAGAACGGGGTGCGGCCGCCGCAGGAAAGCTCGAGGAAGAGGGGTGACCCCGAAGCACCCCTGAAGGAAGGGAAGGTCTCCAGGTAGAGGAGTGTGTGCGAACAAGGTCCAGCAGCCTGAGACAGGTGTGCTCGGGAGCTGCAGGTAGGTGTCCTGCCAGCCCCGCGGGCAGAGGGAGGGGCCGCCCTGCGGGGGTCTCCGGAGGCCTCTGCGAGGACTGTCTGCAGGATGGTAAGTTTGCGAGAACCGGAGTGAAGACCGACGGCTAGGGTGAGGCAGGCAGCAGGGTTCAGCGGCAGACGCCGACAAGGACGGCTGGCTCTGGGGCATTGAGTCAAGCCCTGGCGCCCCGCACACCTGTGGGTCAGAGCCGGAGAGGACAGGGGGTGGGGGTGAGAGTGAATTCCCAAAGGAAACGGCCTCCCTGAGAAGGGGACACCGGCCCCTGGGGTTGAGCTGGGTCACAAGCAGAGGCCCTCGGCAGCCAAAGGGAGCAGGCGGGAGGAAGCCACAGCTTTGGCCCTGTTCCTGCCTCAGGCTGTGAGGTTCCCCTACCCGGGGCGGAGACCCCAAGATCCCAGGCCAGCCAGGCAGGCAGTTCGGACCCCTTTCGCCAGTCGGCCCCTAGGTCACTGCGGATTTCCAAGCCCCGCCCCGCAACCCCACCCTGACGGATAAGGGGAGTGGGAGGACCAGCACCCTCTTTCCGCCTCCGCGCTCTCAGCGGGGGAGGGGCGTGAAGATGTGCGAGGGGGGGCAGATGAGCCGATGTCGCCATGGCAACTAGGCCGGTGGTCTGGCCCTGGAGACCAGGAAGGGAAGGAAGGAGAAAGCGAGGGAGGGAGAAGCTGTGGGTTCCGCGCGCGGGGGCGGGGGCCTGGGTCTCCCGGGAGGAGTTGGGAAACACCTGGCAATTCTCGCTGTTGGTTCTTGGTGGCGCAGGGAGCCCGCGTGTTTGCGAGTGTGTATGCGAAGTTCTCCGGGTGAGTGTGCCGACGCCTGTCTGGGTTTGTGCATGCGTGTGAGTGTGCACACGTGGGCACAGGCATGTGCGCGCAGGAGTGCCCGGCCAAGATGTGTGTGCCAGCCTATGTGCTCACGAGGGTGTGCCAGCCCGTGTGCCCATGCGTGTGCGCGCGCGAGCACACGTGTCTGTGTGTGCACTCGTGTGCGCTCCTGAGCGTGCCCTGGCGGGCGTGCGGACGAGTGTGGGCTGGAGAGTCCCGCACCCTCACCAGCCTCCGGCCGCCCCCCCCCGCCCCCCGCC